TGCAGAGGCGTCCTTGCATGATGAATATTTGATGATGGTGTGGCATCCTGTTGTTGTCTCATTTTGAGGATTGATGATATGCGGGGCACCGCGGATCACGCCAATTTGATGGATGATAATCGGAAATGTTTTTCAGCCCGAGTTGTTCCGGTGTGCGAAAGTTGACGCATTTCCGTTGTTTATCGACTTGTGGTTGAGTTATTTGCCTGAAATCAGGGAGGGATGACGTACGACCCCTCCTGAGTGATGAATGGCGACCAGCGTCTCTCATTTTGTGCAAATACCAACGAGTAGGTTGATGAGCTGTTTGTGATTGAGGCACTGCTTTGATCTTCCACTTCTGCTCAGGTCGAGGGGGGCACTCCTCCCTGCGTTTTGGTTGATTACCCTCTTAAAAATATTGTTCAGATGTGATAGATCGGCAATAATGGTGCTCGGGGTTGTAGACGTGCCCCAGTGCCTACGGCAGCTTGATACAACTGTATACAATGAGGATCAGTTGCTAGGAGGGGGCTACTAAGGTAAGGAGTAGTACAAATGTCCGATCTTGTAAACGCGTAGGTTTGCAATTTCTGCCGTGTCGATTTGGGATTGACTCGACGACCAGCGTCTGTTAACAGTATATACAGGTACCAACAAGTTGGTTGATGAGCTGTTCTTTTGATAGGCGCTGCTTGATCTTTCATTGCTGTACAGGTCGAGGGGGGCACCCTTCCCTGCGATGTGATTGATTGCCCTTTTTACGCGTTCTTCCAACGATCGTAATGATGAAGCATGGATATCTCTTCTGTTATGGATCGACTTTGGTGTTTGGGGCTGTGGGCGCGCCCCGGCGCTGACAGCAGCATGATACAGTAGGGATCTGTTGCTGGGAGGGGGCTACTTGAAAAAGGAATGTGAAATTGTCTGTCACCAGTGTCTCCCGTAGGAGTACCAGCAAATTGGCTGATGAACTGCGTTGGGATACTGCTTGATCTTCTTCCGCTTGGTTGATCGCCCTTTTTGATATCATTTGGGAGCGATGTAGCACCGATTTACGCCTTCCCGTTGAGAGAACGATGTAGCGTTGGATCTTTTGCTTCTCCACGACGATTTGACATTGATAGGTGCTTGGGGCTGTAGACGCACCTCGGTGCTTACGGCAACTTGATACAGTGAGGATCAGTTCCTGGGAGGGGGCTACTTGATAAGGAGTAGTAAAAATGTCCTGATAATTGTAAACGAGTAGGTTTGCAATTTGGTGAAACTGAGTAGATTTGTGTTGACAAGTCAATCAGCAGAGTGACCTTGGAGACGGAGGGTTTTGATCCGTTGGCGGGTTTCCCTTCGTTTATTTTGTTTTTCTTTGGAGTTTTCTATGAGTACCCGGATACTTGGTTTAACAAGCATGAGTGACGATGTACAGAATCAGGGAGGGTGTTCGTGACGTGGATTATGGATTATGTAATCCTCACGAGAGCTACTGCTGTAGTACTCATATGTGTTTGGAGCTATGGAATTGTGCGACTGCAATCGACCGCCCAGCGGGTGCGGATCTTCGGGGTAATCCCTGCGTATCTTTAGCAAGCTATGATGTGTTCCGAGTTATGGATGCATCTTTGCGGCGGTGGATTTATTGCGACTGGTTACTGGTGTGCGGCACAGGAGCTTGCCCCCCGCTGCCACTCTCTTCTGTGCGCTTGTCTACGTGGGACGACCTAATAAAACGACTTAACCATCTATCCAATCCTGTCAACTGGGTCAGCCGTGCTTGTACAGCAGCACTGGGCTTGGGACCAATCAACACGGGCTGGGTCACAAACCCAAAGAGGTTGAGAATTCAGTATAGTCTGCAAGGGCTTCAATCCTTCCCTTGCGACACCTCACACCACCACCCTAGACCCACCGAAAATTGAACAGATATCGGCTATTCGGGCGTGTGCCTCCAGACATGGCCTTTCGAAAAACACGACAATAATGCCACAGGGCTTCCGTCCGGGATTCGGTGCAGTACCGAGTATCGTATGGTACAGGGTATGAAGTGGGATGAGGGGTGCTTCCGGAGACGCTAACGGAAGAGAAACAAGAGCAATGAGGCACGCCGTCATCCCACCAACCCCTTTCACGCACCCTTTCCCCCAGCTTGTACACCTCGCCGTGGGGCCTTGTGCGAGAATGGTTTCTCGGAAACGAATGTTAACAATGCACCTGTCGTGCGGGAGGCCCTGGGTTGTGCGTTGGATACATGGCGTCAGCTAACAGGAAACCCAACTGCCGCGCTGTTACCTTGCCCCTGCAAATTTCGTGATCTAATGCCTGAGGCGAACATCCAACGATACGTTACCGACTAAATATCAAAAAGACTGGCATGGACAAGCGAACGGGGTCCGGCGAAGTCGACATGCGCATGACGATGACGATACTGCTGGACGAGCAGCGTGGATACCGTCCGGACACAATGTGGTCCCAACCAGAGGGGGGCTAGGGAATTATTTNGGGGGGGGGGGGTTGGGGGGGGGGGGGGGGGGGGGGGGGGGGGGGGGGGTGCTGTCGTCTAGGTGGGGACCAAGGGAGGCGTCAGAGAGAGAGAGGCGGTGGACGAAACGAGGGAGGGTGGGCTTCGATTGCGCCATTTCGACAAGCACCCACTGGCCGCTACACGGACAAGGGCGGCGATAAAGTTTCGGTAGGCGGTCTTCCAATTGGAGTTCATTTGTGTTTGCTGTCTTTTCATGGAAAGGTGCTGTGCAACTGTGCAAGGCTTTTGTCGAACACCGTCCCCTAAAATAGGCTCAAAGGAGTAGGTGGCAGACAAATGCCCCCCAGCGATGTGCTCTTGCAACCTTTGCGCTTGGCGTCTTTACTTGGTATGTTGTTCCTGTTCTCAGTGTGCTGCAGCAAAGCACCGGGTAGAGGTGCTTGCCTGTACGCCGGAGTTGTGGCTGATGTGATCTGCTGGTTATGTATGGGTATATGTGTTTCGTGCGTCCGAAGGTCGCGATTGGTACTTGATGTATGTCGTGATAGACACCCCCAACACTAAAATTATGGGTCGCAGGGGCTATTGTTGCAGGACGAGGAGTGCCACCCTATGGAGGTGAATGAAACGATGAAGATCCCGGGAGTAATGCCTTGGACATTGGCCAACCGCGACGAATAAAACTAAAATGCCCCAGGGCTAACTCAAAGTTTTGAGCTTCGGCCAGTCTTTTGGGGGGGAGATTCTCATGGAGGGGAGTGTTCTGCACGGTAAGTGAACTACTGTAGACCGCACGAAATAGAGGAAACTCCGTGTGGGGAGGTGTGGCGATTGTGATTTACACACCACGAACAACAAAATGTTGGGAACTCATTCACGTGGTAAAATGCGTTTGACCCTTGGCACAAAGCGCCGTATGCCATGACCACGGGAGCATGATCAGTGCTATCTTGATTCCCTTCCTTACAAATCACGCACGTGGCACGTTGGCCTAAAAGAAGCAGCCCACCTGAAAATGACATACATAGAGGGAACCACACACATGGCCATGCTAAAAGGTCTTTCGTCAAACGGGTTACGACACGGCAAAAAAAAGCCACCGGGTAATCGGTGTCAGGGCAAGGT